ATTGTTGTTTGGTGGGTCCGGGCTGGATTCGAACCTGCCACCTTAGGTGTATGTGGCTGGCGCCTTACCCACTTGAGCCACAGGCACCGAGCCTAAAGTCTATAGTTTTGTTTTGTTTTGTTTAGTTTTTTCTTTATTGCTTCCACTTTTGGTGTTGAATTCATTGCCAATTCTGAGGTCATGGAGATTCCTAGGGGTTTCTTTGTTTTTGTTTTTTTAGGGGAATGTTTTATAGTTTTTGCTCTTATTTTAGGTCTTTTTATCAATTCAGGCCTAGTTTTGTGTATAATGTTAGGTAAGGGTTCCTCCAGTAACATTTGCTGAAAAAACTATTCTTTCCACGCTGAATGGTCTTGGCATCCATGTTGAAAATCCGTTGACCACAGATATATGAGATTATTTCTGGATTCCCAATTCTATTCAATCGATTTGTATGTCTGTCTTTATGCCCATACCACACTCATTGTTTACTTTGGCTTTGTAATAATTTTGAAATTAGGAAATGTGAGTCTTCCCACTTTGTTATTCTTCAGAATTGTGTTGGCTATTGAGGGATACTTGCAATTCCATACGGATTTTAGATTCAGTTTACCAGTTTTTACTAAGAAGGCAGGTAGTATTCTGATGGTAATTGTATTAAATCTGTAGATCAATTTGGAGACTATTGCCAACTTAAACAACGTTGTGTCTTTTGACTCATGCACACAGGATGTTTTTCTGTTTATTTAGTTATTCTCTAACTTCTTTCATTGACGTTTTATAGTTTTCAGAGTATAAGACTTACGCTTTCGTAAAATTTATTCCAGTTTTTTCTTTTTGATCTTATTGTAAATGGAACTGTTTATTGATTCATTCACATGTATAGAAGTACACTGATTTTTATATATTAATTTTGTATCCTACAACTTTTGTTAAACTGTTTTTTTGTAGAGACAGAGTTTCACTTTATTGCCCTTGGTAGAGTGCTGTGGCATCACATAGCTCACAGGAACCTCCAACTCTTGGGCTCAGGTGATTCTTTTGCCTTAGCCTCCTGAGTAGCTGGGACCACAGGTGCCCACCACAGTGCCTGGCTATTTTTTTGTTGTTGTTGCAGTTTGGCCAGGGCCGTGTTTGAACCTGCCACCCTCAGTATATGGGGCTGGTGCCCTACCCACTGAGCCACAGGTGCCACCCTGTTAAATTGTCTTTTATTAGTACTAATAGTTTAACTAGATTTTTGGGTATTTCTCTTTTTTTGAGACAGAGCCTCAAGCTGTCCCCATGGGTAGAGTGCCGTGGCATCATAGCTCACAGCAACCTCCAACTCCTGGGCTCAAGCGAGTCTCCTGCCTCTGTCTCCCAAGTAGCTGGGACCACAGGTGCCTGCCACAATGCCCGGCTATTTTTTGGTTGCAACCATCATTGTTGTTTGGCAGGTCTGGGTTGGATTCAAACCCACCACCTTAGGTGTATGTGGCTGGAGCCTTAGCCACTTGAGTCACAGGTGCCAAGCCATTTTGGGGTATTTCTATATATAAGGTTATGGCATCTGTAAATAGACATTGTTTTATTGTTCCTTTCTATTCTGGAGGAGTTCTGTTTCTTTTTCTTACCTAATTGCCCTGTGTAGATCTTTCAGTACAATTTTGAAAAGAACTGGCAAAATTACACATCTTTGTGTTGTTTCTACTTTAGGGGAAAGCGTAAGGATGTTAGTTCTGGAGCCCTTAATCAAGTTGAGGAACCTCCCTCTATTCCTATTTTTCTGAATATTTTTATGAAAGGACATTGGATTATGTCAAATGTTTGGTGTGCATTTGTTGAGTTGATAATTGGGCTTTTTGTTTTTTATTCTGTTAATGTAGTATGTTATATTAATTGATTGTCAGATATATTCCTGCACTTCTGCATTCCTGTGATATATTTAACTTGGCCATACTGTATAATAATTTTAATGTTGCTGGGTCCAGTTTACTAGTTATTTTGCGTCCATACTCAAGAGTTATTGGTCAGTGGTCTTCCTTTTCTGTAATTTTTGTCTTTCTAGTTTTGGTAATAGTAATACTGTCTTCACAGAAAGTGTATTCTCTCCAGTTTTATTTTTTGAAAGACTGTAAAGAATTGGTGTTAATACTTTAAGTGTTTATGGAATTTAACCGTGAAGCTTTTTTTTTTTTTTTGGCGGTTTTTGGCCGGGGCTGGGTTTGAACCCGCTACCTCTGGCATATGGTGCCCTACTCCTTTGATCCACAGGCGCTGCCTGAAGCTGTTTTTCTTGTGAGTAGTTTTAATTACTGATTCAGTCTCTTTACCTGTATAGGTTTATTCTGATTAACTGTTCCTGAGTCACTTTATCTTTCTAGGAATTAATCCTCCTCATCTTAGTTATCTAAGTAATTGGCGTAGAATTGTTCATAGTAGTCCTTTATAATACTTTTTATTTCTGCAAGGTTGGTAGTGATGTTGCCTCTTTCATTTCTGATTCTATTAATTTCAGTCGTCTTTTTTTTGCTTTGTCAGTGTAGCATAAAGGTTTGTTAATTTTGTTGAACTTTCTAAGAATTCCAGTGTTTAACATTTATTCTGACCCCAGGAAGGCTTCTTTGAACTGTCTCTTTCTTTGCTTCTCTCTGGCAAAATAGCCTGCAGTTTAGCCCCTGTCTCCAACCAGTCTCTTAGTCTCCTCCCATTTACCTTTTGCAGTAATCTCCAGTCTTTTTGAGAGTACCCTTAGGTTTGAACTTCTCACTCTGTAGCAAATAAAGCCTGTTCCTTTGGGAAGAGATTTTGAATTCTGTTTTAGGGTGTGGCCTAAATTTCTGGGTCATGGCTCTCTAGTTAGGGTTTGAGACAGTGATACATTTCTCTCTGGGTGATACTTCTGCCTTAGAGGCTGACCACTTGGTGGAAGGAACAGCAGTACCCTCAGGTCTTCTCAGCTTGCCTTTCTGGGTTTAGAACCTACACTTGATGAATTAAAAATGCACAAGGTCAAGAGCAATCAGCAATTTTTAATCACACCACATCCAAGGTAGAGCCTGTGTCCAAGGTTAAGGACTAGGTTTCAGGCACTCTTGCCTGGAACTTAGTCTCAACCACATGTTGCTGGGGTCAGGATGAGAAATGCAGATATCCTAGCCCTCCTGGGGTAGGTAGCTCTTTGGGAGGTGAGAAGAAAGGAAAGCTTGTTCTGTGTCTTGGAGATGGTAGGGAGTAGGGAAGGAATATTGGTTCACATATCACAGACCCTACTGTTCTTACAGAGTTCTGTGTGATCTTCTTGAGTAACTGTTTATTTGCTATTATTTGTTCATAGGACCATTTCCAGAGACTTTTTATATTTTATTTATTTTTGAGACAAAGTCTCACTATGCTGCCCTCAGTAGAATGCCCTGGCGTCATAGCTCACAGCAACCTCAAACTCTTGATTCTCTTGCCTCAGCCTCCCAAATAGCTGGGACTACAGGCGCCTGCCACAATGCCTGGCTATTTTTTTGTTACAGATGTTGTTGTTTAGCTGGCCTGGGCCAGGTTCAAACCTGCCAGTCTCAGTGTATGTGGCTGGTGTTATAAACACTGTGCTATAGGCGCTGTGCCATTTCTAGAGATTTTAAATCATGTTTTTTGTTATTTATAATTTTCACCAGTTTCAGTTGGGAGCAGATTCATGGAACTCCTCAGACTGTCCTGCTGGAAGTAAAACTGCCCCTTATACTGTAGTTGCCATCTTTTTGGTATTTTAAAGGAGAATTTTGAAGTACCTTGAAAAGCTAAAGAGATTTTTTTTTTTCCCCAAGCGAAGAGCTGATGAGGGAAAAAACATGAAGTCCATAGTAGAGCATAAACTCTTCCGATTAACACATTTTTATAGCATTTTTGTGTTTTAATGTACAGACTTGTTTTATTTTTCCTTTCAATGGAAATTTTTCTAATCTTTAGCTGTGATTATAGCATCATGGTCAAACAAACTTATTCAGAAAAGCAACATTTAATCACCTTGTTTCTTTTTTATTTTTTTCATAATTATAAGTCTCATGTTTGGGAATGTAATTAAATGTTTGTTTGGTTTTTGTTTTTGTTAGAGGCAGTAATGAACCAGGAAAAAAGAAACAGCATATCTGTCATATTGAAGGATGTGGAAAAGTTTATGGCAAAACATCTCACCTACGAGCACATCTTCGCTGGCATACTGGAGAAAGACCTTTTATATGCAACTGGATGTTTTGTGGCAAAAGATTCACAAGAAGTGATGAGCTTCAGAGACATAGAAGAACCCATACAGGTTAGTTGGTTTATTTTAGGACTCGTACTTTTTCCTTATTTTTTTCAGTGTTTACACAAACGTTTTAGTGATAGTTTAGCTATTAAATTGGAAATAAGCAAGTACAGAGCAAAGTAGTCATTTTAATGATTATGCAGAAGATATTTAAGATCACAATTCTTTCCCTCATTTCTAACATGCATTATGTTCTACTTTTTATAAGTTTTATCAGCATATTTACATGAGCTGGAATTTATTCTGCTTGTTTATCTTATATTCCAAACATACTGAAATCACATGTTTTTTGTGTTTAAATAGGTGAAGAGAGTTGAATTATGATCTTAATGGTAACCTTCATTAGTTTTGTTTTAATTGTTTTTCTTTAACAAATCTAGAAAATTTACCCAAGTATCAAGAATAATGTAACAAACATCCATCCAGTAACCTTCATTCAGAATTGGCAGCTGTTAATACATTTTCTGTTTTTTAAATGAAACTGATCACTTTATAAAGTCAGCCTCATCTTTGCTCTTCCACCTCTCAAAAATAGCAGCTACGGCTCGGTGCCTGTGGCTCAAGAAGCTAAGGCACCAGCCACATACACCTAAGGTGGCGGGTTCAAATCCAGCCCCAGCCCACCAAATAACAGTGATGGCTGCAACCAAAAAATAGCCGGGCGTTGTGGCAGGCGCCTGTGGTCCCAGCTACTTGGGAGACAGAGGCAGGAGACTCGCTTGAGCCCAGGAGTTGGAGGTTGCTGTGCAGCACTCTACCCAGGGGGACAGCTTGAGGCTCTGTCTCAAAAAAAAAAAAAAAAAAACAGCAGCTACTATGAATTTAATGTGTCTTAAGTATTTTAGTACCTTTTTAATACTTTTACATGTATTACTCATGGATTTATATATAAAATACTTTGTACATATTATGAAATGTTACATAATTAAGTTACCTACTATGTTTTGAGATCTATCCAAGTTTATATATACGTATATTTACATAGATATATTTTAATTGCTGTATAGTATTCCATCACATGACTACCACACTGTATTCATCTATTTCTCAAACTGTTGATGTGAACATATAGTTAACATGTATAAGAAGTAGAATTTGGGGGTGGGGAGGGGATAGAGTCTTACTTTGACACCCTTCGTAGAAAGCCCTAGCATCATAGCTTGCAGCAACTTCAAACTCTTGGGCTCAGGCAATTCTCTTGCCTCAGCCTCCCAAGTAGCTTAGCTGGGACTGCAGGCGCCACAATGCCCTGCTATTTTTTTGAGATGGGGTCTCGCTCTTGCTAAGGCTGGTTTCAAACCTGTGCGCTCAGGCAGTCTACCCTCCTCAGCCGCCCAAGTACTTGATTACAGGTGTGAGCCAGCAAAAGTAGAATTTTTGTTTGTTTGATTTTTATAAATTTTACAAGTTGTATTTATTTATTTATTTATTCGAGACAGAGTCTCCCTCTGTGCCTTAGTGTTTTTTGTTTGTTTTGTTTTGTTTGAGACAGACTCTCACTTTGTCATCCTCGGTGGAGTCCTGTGGCATCATAGCTCACAATAACGTCCAGCTGTAGGGCTCAAGCAATTCTCTTGCCTCAGCCTTCTGAGTAACTGGGACTACAGGAACCCTCCACAACAACCAGCTATTTTTAGAGACGGGGTCATGCTCTAGCTCAGGCTGGTCTCAATCGTGTGAGCTCAGGGCAGTCTACACACCTTTCCCTCCCAGAGTGCTAGGATTATCGGCATGAGCCACTGTGCCCGGCCTGAGAAGTAGAATTTTTGGATCACAGAGAATGCGTATGTTTGATTTTTCTAGATAAGAATGTCTGAAGTGGCTGTTATAATCTTTGATTCAGAAGCAGTGATTGGCCAGGCTCAGTGGCTCATGCCTGTAATTCTAGCATTCTGGGAGGCCGAGGCGGGTGGATCACTTGAGTTTAGGAGTTCGAGACCAGCCTGAGCAAGAGCGAGACCCTGTCTCAATTAAAATAGAAAAAGTAGCCAGGCATTATGGCAGGTGCCTGTAGTCCCAGCTACTTGGGAGGCTGAGGTCAAAGGATCGCTTGAGCCTAGGAGTTTGAGGTTGCTCTGAGATATGATGACACCATAGCACTCAACCCCAGGGTAACAGTGGGACTTTGTCTCATAAAAAAAAAAAGGCAGTGATTAATGATTTCCATTTCACTTTGTGCTCACCAATGCTTGGTAGTATCAGGCTTTGGAAGTTTTTTTTACTCTGAGGAAATGTTTCTCATTTTTAAAGTTTGTATTTTTCTTGATTGTCAGTGAAATTAAGCATCTTTTCTTGTGTATTTGTCATTTATATATTCATTTACATACTCTTTCTGTTTATTCTGTTCTTTACTTTCTTTTGAGTTGTTTTCTTATTTGTATGGTTTATATGTTATAGTTTCCCCTGTATTGATACCTATTTAGGACTCTGTTTAGTTATTGAATGAATTAATTTGAATCAATTACCAAATTAGACTTTAACATGTACCAAGGTACCTGTGGGGACAAAAAGGGAAATAGAACTTTTTTTTGACCAGCTACCATATATCAGATGTTTTGAATATGATACTTTACTTTGTTTGATACCAATAGCAACAGTGTGAGACAGAAATTAGCTACATTTTAAGATTAGAAAATAGTCTCAGAAAAGGAAATAAATGAAATCTGTTAAAAATGATAAATATAAGTTATCTAATTTGATATGCACATACAGTTGTAACACAAGTAAGTATAATTTTAGTATCTGTTATCTGAAATGTTTAGGACCAGAAGAAGTATTTGAGGTGTTGGACTTTTTCTTTCTTTTTTTTTTTTTTAGAGACAAGAGTCTCCTTTTGTTGCCCTTGGTAGAGTGCTGTGGTGTCACAGCTCACAGCAACCTCCAACTCCTGGGCTTAGGCAATTCTCTTGCCTCAGCCTCCCAAGTAGCTGGGAATATAGATGGGCACCCGCCACAACACCCGGCTGTTTTTGTTGTTGTTGCAGTTTAGCCAGGGCCAGGTTTGAACCTGCCACCCTCAGTATACGGAGCCAGTGCCCTACCCACTTTTTTTTTTTTTTTTTGGCCAGGGCTCGGTTTGAACCCGCCACCTCCAGCATATGGGGCCAGTGCCCTACGCTTTTGAGCCACAGGCGCCACCCGAGCGCCCTACCCACTAAGCCACAGGTGCTGCCCAAGGTTTGGGACTTTGTTGGATTTTGGAATGTTTGCATATATACAATGCAATATCTTGGAGATGGGTCCCAAGTCTAAACATGAAATATATTTGTTTTATATTTAATATATACCTCATACATACAGCCCAAAGGTAATTTTATTTATTTATTTTTGGTGAAGGTAATTTTATGCAATACTTTAAACAATTTTATGCTTGAAACAAAGTTAAGTATTTGTATGTGGAATTTTAGATTTTGAGGCATGTCAGGTTTTAGATTTCTGGTTTAGGGATGCTCAGTCTGGCCCAGTCCTTGAAAGAATTACACTGAACTTGTACATTTTAATTAAGAAAAGAAGCTTAAAAACCTTTCTGTATGGTATTGTCTTGGAACTTCTAAATACTATCTCACCATTGACATTGGCAAATACAATGTGATTTAAAATTAATCTCACATCAATGTTGATGTCTGTTTTAGAAAAATACTGTGCTGTTTTTGTCTGTATGAAAGGATGCAGTATTTTCACCCTGGATTAACAGTGGGATGGGTTAGGGAAGCCAAGAAAAATTGCCACTTTGTTTGATTTGGGGCCTCGCTTTGTGATTGCATCATTTTGTCTGAGAATCGATGAGTTTGTAAGTCCTTCTCTGTCCCAAGTCCACAGGCATGCAGATACACAAAACAAATCTATTCAAGAATGTATATACACACACTTCAAAATCAAATATTAATGATTTATGGCATGTCTTCTTTTTAAAAATTATCCACACCATTATCATCATTTACTAGCTTGCTAATTCAGAATCGAATGTTCTTTATGTTTACATTCATTGGTTCAGATGCCTTACATATATCTTACACAAGACTGTTTAATTAAAACATTTTAACCCTAAAAAATATTGAGCTTAGTATCAGTATACTTGTAGTTATTGATGTTAAAGATTTAACATTAAATAAGTTCTTTTTAATTTTAAATATTAAGGTGGTACAAATGTTTTGGTACATGGATAGCTTTTATAATGCTGAAGTCATTAAGCATAGGATATTACTGTGCCCACCACCCAAATAGTGTTCATTCTACCTGATAGGTAGGTTTTTAACCTCTCCCTATCTTTTACCATAACTTCCATTTTAAGTGTTTATTAAATTTGTTGAAAAAACTATGAAAAAGTGTTTTTAAAATTAAGTATTGATTAACCAATTAATGGAAGTTGGAAGCCTTCATCATTCATGGCAAAAGCCAAGTTTTATTCAGTGTCTAACCACTATTATAAGTAAAAACTCATTGACTTACTGTAAATGAATGAAGAGCTAATTTATTTTACTACTGAAAATAGTGAAGATCTATTTGCTTTTTTAAACAGTAAATTTAAAAACGTTTTCAAAATAATACATATATATGGTATTTAAAAATCAAATCGTATAGAAGAGCTTACTGTGTTAAGGAAACTCTTTACCCCCATTCCCTTTTGTGCTCCCCAGAGAAAACAATAGCTATTCTTACTACACTGCTTTTTTTTCTTCCCAGGATGACTACCGTTTATCTAAATTACATACTTACACTGTTATTTATTTACATTATCTGTTGACTACTTGCATTGAGAGTTAAGGATTTACTTCACTCTTCACTTTGCACTATCTGAATACATTTGAAGATATTAGGATTATTTTTAAAAATTATATGTAGGCCAGATATTCTCTCTTGACTCACCATTCTATGATGTGAATATTACTGTGTCTATTCTTCACTTTCCATTTTTTTTACCTTTTATCTCACCCAAAGTTTATGATTTCTCTTCTCTTAAGATTAAAATGCTTGTACTAATCTCTCTCTTTATGGCTTAATTATCA